TAAACATAAACAATAGATAAGCAAAATTATCATGAGCTGATGGCCCGGCACTTCCACTTTATTCTGAACAGAGATAATTCTTTTTTCATATTCATCTGAGGATTATTACTTTACCGAAGGGAGTGGGCAGCATCCCCACTGGCCGGAGGCTAGTCTGCAGCAGGTGTTACCAGATGGACACTGAGCCTGACCACCTGGACATACAACGTTTGGTTCTGGAACCACAACATTGGCATCTGTCTTCTCAAACCATGGCAGAGTCATCTCTCCAAGTGAACAAGTTCCAGTGGAAATATCACAGGTGTAGCCGTGGGGACAACAATGGATGTGGTCACTGCAGCACACAGCCTAAACATAAACAATAGGTATTAAGCAAAATTATCATGAGCTGGTGGCCTGGCACTTCCACTTTATTCTGAACAGGGACAATTCTTTTTTTTATTTTCTCTGAGGATTATTGCTTTACCGAAGGGAGTGGGCAGCATCCCCACTGTCCGGAAGCTAGTCTGCAGCAGGTGTTGCCAGATGGACACTGAGCCTGACCACCAGGACACACGATATTTGGTTCTGGTAGAATCTACATGTACGAATACCAAAATCTTGCAGGTTAGGCAAAATTGTACTGAAATTTACTTTTTTTCAGATTTTTGGTTCTATGAGCAGCCTTTTAAGAGCATCAGTCAGGGGACTTAATGGAAATGATTGAAACATCGATATGCCAAGAGTATATTCGGAAGTTGTCACTGCAGCACAATAGGTCCGATAGAATGTGTTGTTCTGGATTAAATATGCAAATGTCCTGCCGTATAGCGAGGGCTTGTTTGATATTTGTGGTCCAATAACAAGCAAACCCGAAAAGGTCGATTAATAGTTCCCGCCCAACAAATCAGTAGCCCCACTATCAGTTCTACTGATCAAGTGCAAAATTCTCTGCAAAAGTGACCCAACCTTTTTCTAGACATTTAATGAAAGCTTTTGTTCAAAGTCCGGTTTATTAACCCTGCTGCCAGTGGCATTTAAATTCAGCTGGTTTCCAGTGCTCCCTTTGTGTACTGTGACTTTCCATTGTTTTGTAAGAATCTAACAGAACAGAGTCGGCTGTTCCGGCAAGAGTTGGGACTTCCACGCCGAGACATGGAGCATTTGCCAAGCATGACAGGTGCAGTTTTGCATGAGTTTGCACAGAGCTGTGCTATGATACTCATAGGCAACCCCGTTGGTCCAGCATTCCACTGATGTCCACAGTAGGATGCGTTTTCTACTGGGAGAAACCCCACAAAACCAAATTATGGCACAAAATCCTGTGGTATTATTTGTTTTTTCTACATAAATATACTTTGTGGGTCAACAAGCAGCAACCACTGACTTAAATCCTGACGGGACTGTTTTCCATTCGGTACCCCTTAATCATAATGCTGACAATTTGGATATGGTGCACATACACACCGAAATGACACATTCTGGGGTTCGTCATCTACTCGTCCACTGGGATAAGTTTACCTGCACTGTGCAGCGGGAAGGAAAAGTTCTGGGACAACTGATGAAGAAAAAGTGCCCAGGAGTACTGCTATACATTTTGTAGGGTCCAATGGATTATACAAACCAGTGTTGTTGTCCAGACCATGACAAGACTAGTTACAAGACCAGACACAAGACAGATGCAAGACGAGTCAAAAGACCATCACAAGTAGCAGCGAGAGCAGTGACAGAGGAGAGCTTTTTTTTTGCAGTTCAATTTGAACAGCCTGGGGGGGCTTGAGTTCAAACCGGAGGTCTTGTGATCGTGGTCTTGAAGTCTGTACCACAACGCCAATTCAAACATGAACTTCTAAACTATGGCACAGGAGCAGCTCAAAGCCTATGAAAACTGCACAGTCTAAATTGCAACAGTGTATCACTGAGCAGTGGCGGGAAAAAAGCAAGGAGTGACAAAAACCTAGTGACTGGTACTTACATTTGAGCTGGTGTGCATGTATGTCTGCAGTGGTTGCATCAAGCGATGGATGGCAAGGCAGCAAGACATCAAGCGATGGAGAAGGATTCAATGCCTCTTTTTATACTGGCTAGTGGGTGCTACTAATGAATGCGTGTGGTTTTCATGGTACATGAAGCTCAATGGCAGTAAACAGAGGGCCTGTTGGCCAAGACCAGTGATATTTAATGTTGGTCCCGCAGCAGTGATACTGGTGCAAGCCTAGCACCTTTTTTTTTTCCAGGAAAGTTTATCTGGACATTAGGAGAGAATTCTACATCTGGCCTTCACAATTCCAAGTTTTGTCAGCACAAAATATTCTACAAATTATACAACCGAAGGTAAAGTTCCCGACAGTTTCAATTTTTTTCCAAGCTGAATGGACTTAAATGCATATTAGGTGAAGTGGAGAGTTGTTTTGTGATGAGTACATTGTGGCCAGATACAGAAATCAAGCCCTCGGTCTTACAAAATTTAAGACGTATTGGCCCAGTTGTCAAGCTGTTTTTCCCCTTGAGATTCGATCCCTGAGTGGTATAACCAAATGAATGATTTCCAAACCTGCTTCATTCAAATTCAAAAGTTATGATGCAAATATTCATGCTGAGTAAACAAAATGGTGTACCACATCCAAGCCTTATCCTCATTGGTGGCAATGAAAGTTAAGTGAGACAAAAATCACGGTTTTTTAGATGCCTTATCACTCTCTTCTTTACACATAATCTGTCCAACGGACATCTTAACGCCTGCAGTCATAGCAACAGTTTGAACTCAACTGGTAACATACGCATGAGTGAACACAAGCGCTCTGCAGGCTACCAGTCAAGCATCATATCGGCACGTGACCTTTAGCTGGTCACCACACCATGTAAAAATGGGAAAGAGCAGAGACTGCCAGTCAGTGGGCTAGAAATTATCAACAAATAGCAAGGTCACAAGAAAACCTACCCCTGAGGATTATCTGAAAATGAAGCAGGAAAACAAAAAGGAAATACAAACAACTGCCAGTGTCTAATGCTGGCACAACACCTGAAGACTAATAGTGGAGTGAAACTTTTCATGTAAATAATTCCACAATAAAAGCAAATGTCACAAATATTTCGTTAGTTATTTACAAAGCCATAAGAGAAAAGGATTCATATGAACACATATGGAGATTCAGTTGCAATAAGTGTGGAAATAAAGATGTTTTGCGCATGACGTTTGGTCGGGAGTCCATGAAAATTGCTCTGTGACGATCAATCTTTCCTCTTGGTTCAAACAGATGACACTGCTTATCAACAACTCTGCCGAAGCTGGTGCAAAACTTGGTCACAATACAGGACGGGCTAATTTCCAGGAGTTGCTTTAAGCACAAATTCGCTCCAAAGTGCTGCTTACATGTAGCAATCCCGATTACCAGTCAAAACGGCACAGGATCTCTACTACTCATGACTGATTTTGTTCTCCGGGGAAAAAATCTGGTACACAATCATTTTTCTGCTCTGAGAAGCTGGTCCTTAATTTGAAACAAAACTCTCGAAAAAATCTTTTGAAGTGCACTTCCAAGACAGTCACAATCACAGGAATTTCAACTCTTAAAATGGGCGGGCGTCCTCCATGACACTACTGTCTGAAATGAATTTTGGTATTAAAAGCAAAAAGTCGGGGATAACAGAAGCCAGCAACTGAGTAGATGTCTATGGTAACCTGGAAATGACGGCAACAGCATATTTGAATGCAAGCGATTAATGTGAAAAAAGCGACAACCTCTGCAGTCAGCTCATCAGCTTCAGTTTCTCCCTCCCACGGCATGGACTCAAAGCTCTTGATGCACTTGTTGTGTGCCGTGTCGCATGTGTGTCCGCTTGGACAGCAGTGCACCTGATCTTTACAACACACTCCCTGAAAGCCATTGGTTGACACAAAATGTACTCAGAGAAAGGACTTGTCATCGAAGGTGTTGACAAAAATGTTCAAACAAGTGCCACTGTGACTTTTGTTTTGGTCAAAGCCCTGTTGTGTATACATTCCTGATTCGTGCATGTCATTTGCAGACATTCAAAATGCTACAAGGAGGTGTAAGATTTTCCATCTTCAACTAAAACTACCAAATGATTTTTTGAAATGCAAAGGGTACAAAGTTAAAATTTCGTCATTTCTATTAAAACTGACAAACACGTACGAAAAACATAAAGCAACTGGAACCTTTTTGTAATGGCAGCAGCCGTAAACCCCAGGCTTTTTGGTTTGGCAGCAGGTGTAATTTTCCTTACATGCGTACTGGCCCCCTGGACATATCGTTACATTCGTCTTGTCCGGATCCTGCAAAGAAAGTGATCTCAAAATGTATGCCTGCATGAACTACAAGATAATGTCTGCCTCCAGCCACAAACTGAAAAATCCACATTATAAAAAGCAACTCTGAAATGAAAACTTTTTACCAGCCGGGTATTTTTGGGGAACAGCTATGGGCCAGTGGTGGGTATCTCCATTGAAGAGGAGCGAATGCTGGAGGTTTGTTGAGAAACTTACAGTAAACTTATAAATATTGAAATCTAAAGTTACAGAAAGATGGAGAATTCAGGTACAAAACTATCTGGTCAACACTAGACTTTCTAATTGTAGTTTATCAATTTGATGAAGGCAGTGTGAAAAATCTGCACTCCTGTAAAGAAAATAAGCTTAAGCAGAGGTAGTGGACTGGAAGGAATATTCACACTTAATTTGAATACAAAATGTACAAAATCAAGTGAGTGCAAAATATTGGACCTGTGGGAATCAAAAGATCAGTTAACATCTGTCACCTGTGTAGCAAAAGTTACCGGTAAATGTTTATATTTGCTGTGAACAATCAATAAATACATCTGTAAGAATGCCTATAACTTGAAGAACTTTCAAAAGTCCAGATTCCGTGAGTGAAAAAAGATGCTTACACTCTCTGAAAACACTGTAAATCAATGAAGGGTGAAAGCTTAATTGATGAAACTACCCGGATGAATGATGAAACTACTAAATGTGTTTGAAGATAACTCGATCCCTCTCTACAGGGTTTGCTACATGAATATCAGGTCAATAATACGGGCGTTCCACAATAGTGCGCCACCAAGAGTTTGCAACGCGTTGGCCAATCACAATGCGTGAATTCTGTCGTCCCTTTCCAAACGCGTGCTGGGTCAACATATTTCGCGCATTGTGATTGGCCAACACATTGCAAAGTCTTGGCTGGCGCACTGTTGTGAAACGCCCGTATTGTGACCCAACCGGATGAATCCAAGATGGAAGTCGCCTGAGTCAAGTTTGATATTTCTTTCACTGCAAAACTTACTAGCAACTGCCAACCTTTCCAGCCACTCAACGTCAACTATATATATCCAAGTAAGTAAAAGCTCTCTTACTGATTGTCGATGTGGAAAAACAGCTAAAATGGGTCATTAAGACTCACTTCGAAGAATCCGGTCACTATTACTGACCTGCTCTGACCTCAACTGTGGGGTAGCCATTAACAACTCGCATTCTCAGGAGCAACGCATTGCTTTTGAGGTATGAGGTACTATTTTGCTTACCTCAACGGGCTTAGCAAGGTTCTTCTCTTCCCAGGGGATGACAAGTTCTCCTTGATGGCATGAACCGGATGAAACGTCGCACGTATAGCCATGAGGGCAACAATGCTGACCATCGCTGCAGCACACGGCCTTCGTAGAAGGGGGAAAAAGCAGTCACTTGTTTTAAGACTGTGTCAAGGTTTATACTCCAAATATCTCAGATACAAATGTGTCCCAAGGTATACCCTTTAGGTTTGTTCTAAACCAGTTTTAAAAAAAAAGTTTAAGGCAAATTTGAAACTGGTGATGCTGTTATCAGTCTTATTATCGGAAATTCACATTCAGTGGTGAGCCACACAGAACCGCTGCACGCTAATCTGGCCCCTATTGAAAAGAGGTCAGCAGTGCACTGAGCCAGGTTCATGAACAAAAGACAGTTATATAACACCGCACAATCTGGGCTCTGTTTACAAGGCTGCAGGCCTTGCTGAAATAGTCGGGCATCAATGAAGGTCACCTGTCAACTTAGAGCAGTGCCTAAAGATTACTTTGTGCGGCTATAAATGACCGTTAAATAAAATGATGAATTTTTGAAGGATTTTGAAAACGGAAAAAATGATAGTCATGCCGGCCCAGCATCATCAACAGTGAAAAATGCCCCGGCATGAAGTAGTTCATGTGGTGGCGTTGAGGGACTTACATTTGGAAATGGGCAGCAGCCCCACTGTCCAGACGAGAGCTTACAGCAGGTATTGCCAGCTGGACAAAAAGCTTGACCGCCCGGGCACACCACACTTGTATCCTGTGGAAAAAACAATTTTCTCATTACATGAGATCAAAACCAAAGTAAGGACTACGTTTTCACTCAGAGGCTGGGCCTTGGTATAAAATGGAATGCGTAGCATTGGGATCGTTTGAAAGAGGGTGTTCCAACTGTTAGTGTCTTAATACAGCCAGTGCCCGTTCCCCTCGTCCTCTGTCAAATAATGTGTCCATAGGCCTATTTTATACAGAGGCGGGCGGCTACATTGAGAGGTGAGCGCATAGTTTTACTCCTATTTTGGGGTATTTTCAGCAAAGGTCAAAAAAAACAAAAATGTTGCATTGGTTAACACCTATAAAATGTAAAAGAAAAAGGAATTTCTGGCCGTGATCTTGAATTTCCGAGGTGAAGCGAGAGGCCAGCCTCTCTATGAGAGTCACCAGGTGGCGCTGTTTCTGTCCAATTTTGCACTGTTTTCTATGCCTGCATATTTAGTGTAGTGCAACCTTATCGTTTTGCGTACTTTTGTAAATAAGGATAGAGGTTTAAAGACCATCCATGTGCAAGTGGCAGACGTACAACATCATGAAAATTGGGTCAAGAAAATAATCATGTCATCTTCAATTTGCATGGTTCAAAAAAAAACCCAGATACAA